CTGCTGGGACAGGTGGGGAGGGGAAGAGCAGGAGATCTGTGTGCAAGGAGGTGCTGAAACACGAATTCCTTCTTGATTTTGCAGACTTTGCCATCGTGTTTCTTCAGAATGGCTTTGAGCAAACTTCAGAGCTGGGTAGGAAGGTGGAATTCCAGAAGGTTTCCCATGTAAGGACAAAACAAACCTAGTAACAAGCAGTGCTATAAAAAGTAATTCCATATGTACCTCTGGGCTCTGTTGAGTAGAAATAAATCGGAGCTTGGAGCAGCAAGGGGAGGGTCATGGTCCTGGTGCTGGAGTGGGGGAGAAGGTGAAGCCAGAACAGAGGCTGTTTGTATTGACAATTGCTCCAAGTGGCACATCAAGGGCTTTCAATCTTTGTTGGTTCCACCTGGGCTGCTCAGCTTTTCCATCTGAGGCATAGAATGCTGGTTGAGATGGGAAATGCTGCCCTTCTGCCTATGGTACCTGTGCCACTGCTGAGCCTGAGGTCAGAGTGAAGCTTTAAGAGGGATGAAACTCGTTCTTTGAGTCAATTTACCTTTTCTGAGGCTCCTTGAATCTCTAAATGCCTGAATTTATGTCTTTTGAACAGATCTGCCAAGCTGTCCTGCAGAGAATGCTGGCATGTGAGTACCACTGGGAACCTGGCTGTGTGCAGCCTCTGCTGTCTCCAAGGCTTCTGTTCCTGGCTCATTCCTAAATCCCTGGGGAGAAACCCTTTGGCTGCTTAGGCTGTGCTGTTGTGCATAATATTCATGTCACTGATTTGATTTGCCTCTGCTTTCCCCTTCGCTCCTTAAAGCACCTCCAGACACTGCAGATCATTTCTTGCCTTTTATGCTACTTCCTTTGGATGCTCCCAGCTGTGACATCAGGATTTTACCAGTTGGCTTGGGAACAGATGGAGCTCAAAGGTTAGACCATGAGCAGTTTTGCTGCTCAGATAGTTTTTTCCTGCTTAGTGGATTAAATTGTGAATTCCCAACGTTGAAGCCATTTTGCTGACTCGCCTTGGGGTTTGCAGACTCATGTTTTGCAAAACCTATTTTTTGTGCTGAGCAAGACAGCTAATGTAGGTGTTTAGTCTTTAAACACTTAGACTTCATGAGGTGACCATGTGCCTGGCCTGAGCTGCCCTGGTGACACTGCTGAGAGCCCCAGGGTGGCAGTGCCTGATTGACATGCAAATCCTGATGCTGAAAGACTGAGCACACATCAGGGTTATTTTTGTTCTGTGTCACAGCTGAGGTGCTGTACCTGCTGTTGTCACCTTCCTTACCCCCCTCCCGTGCCCTATACCCCTGGGTGGTGTCAGCTGACTGTGCAGCTGCTGTCACTCCTGGTTCCCTAGTGACCACGGTGCTCCACCGCTTTCCTTGCTGGCACGTTTCCTGCTCACTGCTGCAGCAGAGGCTGCTGCTTTTCCTCTGCTGTAAGTTGACCCAAACCCAGGACACGCCACCGGGACTGTTCCCGCCCTCCTGTGCCAGCCCCTGAGGGCACTGCCAGCGCCATCCCTCACCCCAGGACTCGCAGGGAGCACTGTCTGTGCACAGATTGCTCACAGACCCTGCGAGCACTTCTAAAAAGGGAAAGCTGCAAGAGGAGTGCTGGATTATTCAGTATGTATGAATCCCATCTCAGGTGCCCCTTTAGCAGTTGAAAACCAACGTTTATCAGCACGGGGAGTAGGGATTTTGGGGGAGGAGGAGGAGGCTGTTGGCAGGCAGACCGGAGTCTGCATCCTGCTCTTCATTTGCCCTTCCCGTGTGCTGCAGCACTCGCAGCCTCTGTATCTGCAAAATGCATTACAGGAGTTTTATGTAAGATTTTTTATTAGTGCATCCTTTTGGGTCACCTTTGAGGGGTCTCACTTCATTAATCTTTTGAGGACATTAGGACTTTTTAATGTAAAAACATTCCCTATTTCTGAAGACCTTCACCAGAGGAGAAGGACAGGCTGGGAGTAGCATGGGAGTGCTGTGCTTCACAGCACTGATCTGTGCTGAACTGCTGTGCCTGAAGATAAGCTGAGTTTATCTCCTTTTCTTTATTCTCCCCTACTTAACCTCAAAGTATTCCTCAGCAGGAGAGGAGAGTATTACATCCCAGCCCTGCGGAGGCATGTGAGGGATATCTGGTTCACTGCCCCAGCTTGGTACATTTCTGTTCAGGGTTTTTCTCTTCATTAAATAATGCTAATCAACCAAACAAGCTGCTTTAGCTGGTGGAAGAGGAGGGATTTCAAGGCAGGATGGGACAAGGAGCAGAAGTGCTGCTGCAGGGGCCACAAAGCAAAGGGTCCCCCAGTCTGTGGGTTCTGATTGGTGTGGGCTGATAGTCACAAGCTGTGCAAGCTGCCAACCTGTCTGATCCCTGCCAGTCCTT